CCTGGGGTCTCAAAGTTCCTGGCCGGATGGTTTGGAGCAGAGTCCAAACCATGCCAGGCGGGCGCCCGTCCTCCCGCCGGATAATGGGCAACCTCTGCCACTAATGAGCTTGTCATTGCAACATGTTGACATTTCATTAGCGAGGCGTCTTGGCTGCTGCCGGACGGTGACTTGCAGGCTGCTGGGTCCTTGGTTGAAGCCGCCTTCTTCCCTCCCCACCCCCACCCAAGGCTTTGAGAAGCAGGGCAGCGAGATCGAGGGGATGACAACGCCAAGCAGGTTTTCGGGGGTCCGGGCACCCATGATGATGATGAGGATTCGCCAAAGCACCAGAGGGCAGGACAAGAAACCATGGTTGGAAACTAATCGAAGAGAGGAGCAAGCTGGAATGAAGGGGGAAACTTCCTAACAGTGAGGACAATTAGCCGGTGGAACTGCCTGCCACCAGAAGTTGTGGGTGGCTCCATCAGTGGAGGTTTTGTAAGAAGAGGCTGGAGGGTCACTTGTCTGGAATGGTATAGGGCCGTGATGGCGAACCTACGTGTCAAAGATGGCACACGTAGCCGTATCAGTGGGCACACGAGCTCAGCTCAGAAGTAGGGAAACAGGCTGTTTCTGCCTCCGGAGGGCCTCGGGGGTGGTGGGGAAGGCCCGTTTTTTTGCTGTTTCCAGGCTCCAGAGCCTTTCTAGGAGTCTGGGGAGGGCAAAAACAGCCTTCCCGACCCCCACAGAGGCCCTCTGAAGGACGAAAATGGCCCGTTTGCCAACTTCCGATGAGATCAGAAGGCCCGTTTTTTGCTGTCCCCAGCCTCCAGAGCCTTTCTAGGAGCCTGGGGAGGGCAAAAACAGCCTTCCCGGCCCCCACAGAGGCCCCCTGAAGGTCAAAAATGGCCCGTTTGCCAACTTCCAGTGAGACCAGAAGGCCTGTTTTTTGCTGTCCCCAGCCTCCAGAGCCTTTCTAGGAGTCTGGGGAGGGCGAAAATGGCCTTCCCGATCCCCCCGGAGGCTCTCTGGGGGCCGGAAACGGCCCATTTGCCAACTTCTGGTGGCCGCATAGAATTATGGGTGTGGGCATATGCGCGCGTGACACCCCCCGCCCCCCCCGCTCCTGGCACGCGATGGCAAAAAGGTTAGCCATCACTGGTATTAGGGTCTCCTGCTAAAAGCAGGGGGCTAGACTAGAAGACCTCCAAGGTTCCTTCCAGCTCTATTTCTATTATTTCTATTATTTCTTTTTCTATTAATTCTAATTCTATTCTATTCCTATGGTTCTATTCATTATATTCTATTCTTGCACGGAGCCAAACAGTGTGAAATAATCGGAGGCGACAAATTTTCCCGGAAGACGATAAACAGCATAAGAGTCATCCTAATAATAACAATATCATGCCTTGGCTAAATTGTAAATAGACTATGATTAAATATAGATAATCCTTGACTTACAACAGTTCGTTTAGTGATCGTTCGAAGTTATGACGGCACTGGAAAAAGTGGTTTATATGACCGTTTTTCAGACTTACGACCGTTGCGGCATCCCTGTGGCCACGTGATCCAAATTCAAGATGCTTGGCCACTTACTCATATTTATGACGGTTGCTGTGTTCCACGATCCCCTTTTGCGACCTTCTAACCAGCAAAGTCAATGGGGGGGGGGGGAGGAAAGCCAGATTCGCTTAACAGCCATGCGACTAACTTATCAACGGCAGGGATTCGCTTAACGACGGCGGCACGAAAGGTCGTAAAACGGGCAAAACTCAAATGCTTCACATAGCAATGTAAATTTGGGGCTCAGTTGTGGTCATAAGTCGAGAGCTACCTGTATCCCAGGAACAATAGCCTTAATGCACCAACTGGGAGATCTGTTGCATTGGCGATATCCCCGTGTCCTTTTGACTCGGGATAAGGGGAGATGTAGTCCTTGACTTATGACGGGTTGTTTAAGAGTCCATTCCAAGCCACAACAGATCACCCCAAAGTCCCCGATTTGAAGATCTGATGGTTAGGTTTTCCCGTGGTCACGTGATCACATTTGGGTTGCTTAGCAACCGATCTGCATTTATTTGCATCCCACGGCGACATGACCTCAATTTACGACGGTGTTTTTATTTGCTGGAAACTGATCTTTGCTTCCAGTTTCCAGCAAAAATCGTTCATTTGCAAACGATGGTTTCGTTTAACGGCGCTGCAAAATAATGTCATAAAACCAGATCGGTGACGTGATAATCCACCTGTCAACCGGCATGATTTACAACTGTCATTCCGGGCTCGATTGCCGTCATAAGTCGAGGACTTACCTGCAGTGATCACAGGTGCGCTGTGTATGCCCAAACATGGTTTTTTAACAGCAGCAGCAAAAAACAAACAAACAAACAAAAAAATGTTGGCAACAATTTTTGGCCGCTCACCTCTCTGTCTCGCCTAGACGTCGAGCTGCAATCCTGGAGGAATTTTTAAAATAATTTTTGACATTAGTCACCAATCCGGTGATTTCCTGTTGGTCTCCTCACCGTGTCCGAGCTGTTGAGCCCAGATGGAGATGCGCTGCCCCCTGGTGGCTGTAACCCCAAAGGGGCTGGATGGAGCATGAATTAGCAAGCCAAAAAAAAAAAAGGCCTTCGCGGACAATGACTCAGGGTCAAGTTTTTGCTTGATGATTTCATGGCTTCAAAGAGGCATGTTTCTAGTCCTTATTGATGTGCGTTAATTAACTGTCTCGGAGATTTCATGACAGCCAGCCTCCAGAAAAACAAAGTGCGTTATTTTGTAGCCGTGCCAGACGTCAGTCTTCTTGCCCGGGGAATATATTAAAATATGAATGGCGAAATCTGAGATCCTTTTGCTCGGGAGTCAAATCCTGCTGAAGACTATAGCTTTGCTTGTTGTCTGCAGCTTGGCTCGCTTGCCTGAGCCGGCTACAGTTGTCCTATTTTCCTTGGCTTCCCCAGCTTCCACTTTAATCGGCCACAGGGTTGACTTAACAACCATCACAAGATAGGTCGTAAATCCAGCTCGGTCACATGACCGTCCCACTTTATGACCGTCCCAAGTTGCGACTGTGTTGGGCAGGCTCCTTTACGGTCGTACCTCAAGGACTGCCTGTCTTCTATCCCGTTCACAGTAATGATGCTAATGGAGGCAGTCCTCAACTTACAACCGTTCATTTAGTGAGCATTCGACAAACGGCACTGAAAAAAAGGGACTTATGACCGTTTTTCAGACTTACGACCGTTGCAGCATCCCCGTGGTTGCGTGATCCAAATTCAGACGCTTGGCCATTGATTCATATTTATGACGTTTGCAGTGTCCCGTGATCCCCTTTTTACGACTTTCGGACAAGTAAAGTCCATGGGGGGGGGGGAGGGAGCCAGATTCACTTAACAACCATGTTGCTAACTTAATGACGGCAGTGAATAACTCTGGCAGGAAAGGTCCTACGAGGGGAAGAAACTCAACAAAGGTCTCACTTAACGACCAAATTTTGCAGCTGTAAGTCGAGGGCGCCCTGTATTCCGGATGGAGAAACAGCGGGATTTGAACTCCTAACCCCACAGGGACAAATCGTGGACGAAGCAGGCTTTTCTAAGAAAACTTCTTTTGTTAAAAAAAAAAAACTTTGTTCTTCTATTCTACACCTTTAAATGGCATTTTTCACCCTTGTTCCTTCCTGGCGTTTATGTACTTTCTTCCCCTTTAACCCAATCTTACCCCCCTCCCTTTGCCCCCCCTCCATCCTCAACTTTTTTCCCCTTCAGTTTATCCTTCTCCAAACCAGCGTCAAACGTTAACCAGATCAGATGCTTGTCGCTTTTCATAAATAATCCACACGCAAAGCACCATTTCTGAGCAAATTTTGCTTAGCGGGAAACCGAAGGGGGTCAGCTCCGTGGGACTTGGCATAAACAGGGCAAAACGTTTTCCTTTTCTTTTAACGCGGGCGAGTGCCAAGAATCTCAATCTCTTTTTTTTCCCCCCACCCTTTCTTCGTTGGACGGCACATTTCTGGACTCCAAAAACCCTCGGCCAGATCCTCAAATCAAATCCTCCAGCGAAAAGGAGATTTCAATAGTCTTAAGGGCAAAGGAGAGAAAAACCGGAGTTTTCCTGATCCTAAAAAGGGCACGGATCGGTCCTCTTCAGCATCGTCCGATGAATGAAGAGATGCTTTGAGCTTTTTAGACCCCCGTTTTTAAGAAAATTAAGGAGCCTCTCCCCTTTAGAAAAGCGGTTTTTGTTTCCAGCAAACTGAATCTGCTAACCCTAATTCTTCGAATCAAAGAAATCCTGGATATTATTTTCCTTCGGATCTTTCTTTTTTACAGGAATTCTATTTTTTAAGTCACTGCCAATTTTACAACGTTCTTTTTTTTCCCCTCTTTTCTCCATCTCTCTCTCTTTTCTCTTCTCCATCTCTTCCTCTTTTCTCCGTCTCTCCTCTTTTCTCTTCTCCATCTCTTCCTCTTTTCTCTTCTCCGTCTCTTCCTCTTTTCTCTTCTCCATCTCTTCCTCTTTTCTCCGTCTTTCTCTTTTCTCCATCTCTCCATCTCTTTCTCTTTTCTCTTCTCCATCTTTCTTTTCTCTTTCCATCTCTCCATCTCTCCCTTTTTCTCTTTTCTCTTCTCCATCTTTTTCTCTTTTCTCTTCTCCATCTTCTCCTCTTTTCTCCATCTTCTCCTCTTTTCTTGATCTCTTGATCTCTTTCTCTTTTCTCTTCTCCATCTTTCTTTTCTCTTTCCATCTCTCCATCTCTCCTTTCTCTTTTCTCTTCTCCATCCTCTCCTCTTTTCTCGATCTCTCGATCTCTTTATCTCTTCCTCTTTTCTCTTCTCCATCCCTCCATCTCTTTCTCTTCTCTTCTCCATCTTTCTTTTCTCTTTCCATCTCTCCATCTCTCCCTCTTTCTTTTTTCTCTTCTCCATCTTCTTCTCTTTTCTCGATCTCTCGATCTCTTGATCTCTTCCTCTTTCCTCTTCTCCATCCCTCCATCTCTTGACCTTCTGCTTTATGTGAACAGAGTTCGGCCCGGGAGCAAGATCTGTCCTGTAGATTTTTGGGGAAGCTCTCCCGAGGATCTTTTCGTGCTCACCATGGCTTTTGGGGAACTCTTGGAACAAGTCGGTGGCATGGGACGTTTTCAATATATTCACACTCTCCTGCTGACCATCCCGGTTTTGTTCATGGCCAGTCATAACCTTCTCCAGAACTTCACGGGCGCTATCCCAGGACACCGTTGCCAGGTGCGCCTCGCCTCCAACGGCAGCGAGTACCCCAATACCACTCACCTGCGAGGCGCTGGCCAGCTTCTCCGGCTCAGCATCCCTCTGGATCGCAAGCAACAGTTGGAAAAATGCAGGCGCTTCACGGACCCTCAGTGGTATCTCCTCAACGCCAGCGTCACCCGGGTGAACGAGACGGAAACCGAGCCCTGCGCCGATGGATGGTTTTACGACCAAACTCAGTTTACGTCCACCATCGTCAGCGAGGTGAGTGACAATCCGGGAGGGTGGCAAACTAGGAGAAGCATTATTTGGAGGAAAGGGAGAGATTCTCAGAGCCAAAGGCATGTGTCATTTTGGGCGGAGAGTGGGGGTCTCTTAACGATTTTAAGTAGCAGTAACAGAGTCGGAAGGGACCTTGGAGGTCATCTAGTCCAACCCCCTATTCACGCAGGAGACCTATACTAGGGATTCGAACTGCTGAACTGCCGACCTTCCTGATCGACAAGCTCATTGTCTTAGCCACTGAGCCACCTTACTGCTGTTCTTTCCTGACCCAATCATGGTTTTGGCCAGAGCAAAGAATGCCAAATATTTAAAGAGAGAGATGTTTAATGAAAAGAAGGAGTAGGGGAGAAATGAAAGCAGCCTTCCAATATCTCAGGGGCTGCCACAAAGATGAAGGAGTCAAACTATTCTCCAAAGCACCTGAAGGCAGGACAAGAAGCAATGCGTGGAAACTCATCAAGGAGAGAAGCAATCTAGAACTAAGGAGAAATTTCCTAGCATTGAGAACAATTAATCAGAAGTTGTGAATGCTCCAACACTGGAAGTTTTTAAGAAAATGTTGGATAACCGTTTTTCTGAAGTGCTGAAAGGGTTTCCTGCCTAAGCAGGGGGTTGGACTAGAAGACCTCCAAGGTCCCTTCCGACTCTGTTATTCTATGTTTTAAATGCAATATTAAATTGCTATTCTAGATGTCTCTTTGGCTGGTTTTCAAATGTGACTCTCCTGGTTGGGTGATTGGTTCCTTCAAAACTTTTTTTAGCGCAACCGATCTGTTCTTTCCACACATATTGAAAGAGAAGTCTGTTTCAAAAATCATATCCGTGTGAAAACGATAGAGAACTATTTCAGAGAAAACGATGTACCAAAAAAAAAAGAAAAAAAAAAGGAGCGCATCATAAGGCAAACTCCCCGTGCCCAAATACTTACTAGTTTTATATGCCAGACTTAAATTCAAACATATGGAAAAAGAACAAACCAAACTTACAAAGGAAGGGGGGGGGAACCCACTGAGAAACAGCAAGAAAACAGTAGATAAATTAAAAATGAGAAACTGGAAGTTGCAAGCAGGGAGACCGATATGGATAGATCTGTAGAAATCAGGAAATGATAAGAATTATAATAACATTTGGAGCCTCCCCCCCCCCCGAACGCTCTGGCATTGACAAAATCCCCATCGATCGATTGAATAAAATAGAAAATGAGAATATGAGAATAGTAAAATGAGAATAGAATAGAATAGAAAAATGAAAATAGAATAGTAAAATGAAAATAGAATAGAATCGTAAAATGAGAATAGAATAGAATAGAATAGAATCGTAAAATGAGAACAGAATAGAATACAAAAATGAAAATAGAACAGTAAAATGAGCATAGAATAGAACAGTAAAATGAGCATAGAATAGTAAAATGAGAATAGAATAGAATCGTAAAATGAGAATAGAATAGAATACAAAAATGAAAATAGAATAGTAAAATGAGAATAGAATAGAATAGAAAAATGAAAATAGAACAGTAAAATGAAAATAGAATAGAATCGTAAAATGAGAATAGAATAGAATAGAATCGTAAAATGAGAACAGAATAGAATACAAAAATGAAAATAGAATAGTAAAATGAGAATAGAATAGAATAGAATAGAATAGAATAGAATAGAATAGCAGAGTTGGAAGGGACCTTGGAGGTCTTCTAGTCCAACCCCCTGCTTAGGCAGGAAACCCTACACCTTTAACACCATCAAACAACCCCATCTGCCTATCCCAATCCTTGGGATAAACATCTGGCTGGCTGGCTGGCTGGGCGACCAATCCTGATTATTAACATAGCACCTTAGCTCGGATTGGGAATTCAACTAGAGACGTCACCTTTCGAACCCGGGGCTTTCTGCTTGCCCCGCATTGCATCCCCGACTTAACAAGACCCTCGAAATCTAGACCAAGTTTTTTTTTTTTTGCAAAATTGTGACGGCCCCCATCCAGCCTGGTTTTTAGAAACAGTCTTCGTAGCAATGAAGCGGAGAAAGGGAGAAAGATGCAACCGAACAATTTGATTTTTTTTCTCCAACCCCCCCACCCCCCTCCAGCAAATAAAGGAGTTAAAGCTGCAGAAACCACAGGAAATGTTTTTGGTTGGTGTGGAAATGAGGAGAGGGGCTTGTTCCACATACACACACCTCCGCATCCACCCCCCAGTCCTAATGCAACCCGAAAGCCCTGCTGGGCACAGAAAAATCTCAAATCAGTGGGACGTATTTACCTGGCACCAGTTCTGAAGAGAAGGACCGGCCAGTTTTTCTGCCGAGAGCAAAAAAATGTTGTTTTGAGCCTGTCTGTTTTTTTTTCTCTTCCCGGAGGGGGTGGGGGAAAAAATGCTCTACCTGCCCCCCCCCCATTTATATTTCTCTTCTGGTTCTCCCCTCCCATCCTGTCCTCTTCCCAAGAATGCAACTTCTCTTGCATTCTGCATTTAACCTTTTTTTTAATTTATTTTATTTTCTTGCCTTTAACATTTCTTGCTCAATGGGCAAAGTTTGCATGGCAGGGTGTTTTGGCCTTCGCTCGCTCCACCAAAGATCCATCTCTGAATTGCTCGCCTTAGGGACAATTTTATATATATATATATATAAAGATCACAAGAGAAGCAATCAAGTTTCTAGTCCTGGGGGGGCTCCAGAATTCTGGCAGCTGAAATGTTTTGGGAACTCGCTAGGGGGGTTCAAGGCAAGCATTTGAAAAAGAAACAGTGGTGGATGTTTTTTTTAAAACAAACAAACAAACAAACTATGAAGCGACGTTGGTGAAATTTACGTCGTTGCCCAGTCCGTTGTAACTTTGAACGGGTTGTTTTAGCAACCGGTTTTAAGTCCAGGACTTCTCTGTGCCTGTAAGCTGCAAGTGTGCCTCTATCTTTAGAGACAATCCCATCCTCTCCATCACATCCTCCAGGTCCTGAATCCTTCAGCCAGGTGTGATTTCCACTCTCTCTCGCACACGCACACACCCCTTTTAATTGTGAGGTCCTTGCTGCTCTCTGAGCTTGGTGGGGGTTTTTTTCCCGAGACATTTCATGACCCAACTAGGCAACATCATCAGTGCTAGAAGAGAATGGGGATGATGGAGGAGGAGGAGGAGAACTGTGGGGTCTTAGTGCTTTCTAAGCTTGGTGGTTTTCTTACAGACATTTCATGACCCAACTAGGTAACATTATCAGTGCTAGAAGAGAATGGGGACGGGGGACGGAGAAGGAGGAGGAGGAGGAGGAGGAGGAGAAGAACTGTGGGGTCTTAGTGCTTTCTGAGCTTGGTAATTTTCTTGCAGATGTTTCATGACCCAACTAGGTAACATCATCAGTGCTAGAAGAGAATGGGAATGATGGAGATGGAGGAGGAGGAGGAGGAGGGGAGGAGGAGGAGGAAAAAGGACTGTGGAGTCCTTGGTGCTCTCTGAGCTTGATGGGTTTTTTTCCCAGACGTTTCATTACCTCACTAGGTAACATCATCAGTGCTAGAAGGGAGTGAGGTTTGCTCTCTATGAGCACTGATCATGCTACCTAGTTGGGTCACGAAACGTCTGCAAGAAAACCACCAAGCTCAGAGCGCACCAAGGACCCCCACAGTTCAACCCTGAGCCGCAAATATATTTTTTCTATTGGTACAACTTTGAACGAAACTCATTCTCTCTTTCTGTGACAGTGGGACCTGGTGTGCGAACGGCGTAAGCTTCGGGAGATGGCGCAGTCCATTTACATGGCGGGGGTGCTGATCGGCGCGCTGGTCCTAGGCGGGCTGGCTGACAGGTATGTTGGTCAGCAGGGGGCAGCACTGGGAGAAAGAAGTGAGTAGCGGGTGAACTCCAGTGGTTAGGGCACCACTCGGTGATCACATCACTTTTTTTTTTTTTAATCCCACCAGTAGGCTGAGAAGTGCAGATTGGGTGTTGGCCACAAGGGGGCGCTAACTGCTTCTTACCTCTCGGGTCTGATTGACACCTGCAATGAGATTCCTTCTCTTTGGAATCTCTGTAGAGATTGTCAATCATCCAAGGTCCTGGGTATCGCAAAGGTGCTTTTTTCAAGAGGCAACTGGACTTCCTTGATTTTTTTTTTCTTTTGAAGACGTTTCGCTTCTCATCCAAGAAGCTTCTTCAGTTCTGACTGGATGGTGGGGAAGGGAAGGATTGATACTCCTTGCAGACAGCTGGTCATTTGCATCCTTTCTGAGGTTGTTGAAGCACTTGGAGGTTTATCTGGGGTCACCTGAGTGGTGCAAATGGGTCCTGTAGTCTGCAATTTTTTCCCCTATGGAAATCCATTCCTCCTCCCACACCGTTCCAAGGGTGTCCATCCCAAATTGTATAGCCAAAAGGAAATGGATCAAATATTTCCGGATGTTGATTCATTATTGATTAACAGCCAATGCCGCGTATAAGTGAAGAATCTTTTTGCCTGCTGGTTTGTGGTGCGAGGATTCCGCTCAAAACAGTTTCAGAATCAGCAACTGTCAATCAACTCTTATTGAGGCCATAAGAAGGGTGGCATGCAAACAATAATTTTAAAAGCTAAAAAAAAATTAAATACGCAAAGTTAAAAAAGACTCTATCTAGACTAGAGAGGTAGATGGAAGGAAGGAAGGAAGGATAGATAAGAGAGAAAGATAGATGATAGATAGATAGATAGATAGATAGATAGATAGATAGATAGATAGATAGATAGATAGATAGATAGATATGGATGGAAGGAAGGTAGGTAGGAAGGAAGGATAGATAGATGACAGGTAGTTAGATAAGAGAGAGAAGATGATAGATAGATAGATAGATAGATAGATAGATAGATAGATAGATAGGATAGATGATAGATAGATAGGGATGATAGATAGTTAAATAGATAGATAGATAAGATAGATAGATAGATAGGATAGATGATAGATAGAGATGATGGATAGATAGATAGATAGATAGATAGATAGATAGATAGATAGATAGATAGATAGATAGATAGGATAGATGATAGATAGATAGATAGATAGATAGAGATAGATAGATGATAGAGATGATAGATAAATAGATAGGTAGGTAGACAGAGATAGATAGATAGATAGATAGATAGATATAGATAGAGAGAGAGAGAGAGAGAGAGATGATAGATAGATAGATAGATGATAGATGGATAGATAGATGATGGATACATACATACATATATAATCTAAAAAAAATTGGGTGCAATCACATGATGACCCCCATCATAACTTACAGCCATAAGTCAAGGATCTGATTACAGTTATAAGTTGAGTCATAATTACAGTCGTAAATCAAGGACCACCTATATTCTCCCAGAGAGCAATCTGTATCGCCACACACATATACAAACGAACCCCCATTTTCTTTCATGCCTCCCAGGCTTATCAGGGAGCAGGGCGGTGGATGATGGTCTCTTTTGTTCCTCCTGCAGATTTGGCCGCCGAGCGCTCACCATCTGGTCTTTTTTCCAAATGGCCGTGACGGGAACCTGCGCTGCTTTCTCGCCCAATTACGCCTCTTATTGTTTCTTCCGCTTCCTGACCGGCATGGCGCTTTCAGGGTTCGGCCTTAGCATCGCCTGTTTGAGTAAGAGGCTCAACTTTCGAGAGGATCTCAAAGGGGGTTTCGTGACAAGGTCGAAACAAATCTAGCTCTTGGGCCTGGGTGGATCACTTCAGTTCCCCCGACAAGGATTTTGAAGTTAGAAACCAAGAATCCAAGTTAGAAATTCAAGTTAGGGCTGAAAGGTCTTTGATCTGACGGTGGTCTAGACTGTTTCTCTTCCTCCTATGAAAACATACGATGGACGGTTGCAGGAACTGGGCCTGGCTAGTCTAGTGAAGAGGAGGACCAGGGGAGACAGGAGAGCAGCCTTCCAATATTTGAGGGGCTGCCACTGGTGTAGGGTCTCCTGCTTGGGCGGGGGGTTGGACTAGATGACCTACAAGGTTCCTTCCAACTATTCTATTCTATTCCATTCCATTCCATTCCATTCCATTCTCCATTCAATTCTCTCTCATTCTATTCTATTCTATTCTATTCTATTCTATTTTATTCTATTCTATTCTATTCTATTCTATTCTATTCCATTCCATTCCTTCCCTATTCTATTCTATTTTATTCTATTCCTTTTCTCTTCTCTTCTCCTCTACTCATTCCATTCCATTCAATTCTCTCTCATTCTATTCTATTCTATTCTATTCTATTCTATTCTATTCTATTCTATTCCATTCCTTCCCTATTCTATTCTATTTTATTCTATTCCTTTTCTCTTCTCTTCTCCTCTACTCATTCCATTCCATTCCATTCCATTCTCCATTCAATTCTCTCTCATTCTCTTCTCTTCTCTTCTCTTCTCTTCTCTTCTCTTCTCTTCTCTTCTCTTCTCTTCTCTTCTCCTCTACTCTATTCCATTCCATTCAATTCTCTCATTCTATTCTATTCTACTCTACTCTACTCTATTCCATTCCATTCCATTCTCCATTCAATTCTCTCTCATTCTCTTCTCTTCTCTTTCTTCTCTTCTCTTCTCTTCTCTTCTCTTCTCTTCTCTTCTCTTCTCCTCTCTTCTACTCTACTCTATTCCATTCCATTCAATTCTCTCATTCTATTCTATTCTATTCTATTCTATTCTATTCTATTCTATTCTATTCTATTCTATCCTATCCTATCCTATCCTATCCTATTCCATTCCATTCCATTCTCTCTCATTCTGTTCTGTTCTGTTCTGTTCTGTTCTGTTCTACTCTACTCTACTCTATTCTATTCTTAATTCTGTTCTCTCCTGTCCTATCCTTCCTAAGTTAACATTATTAAGATAGAACTGGTGCCGAGCGTTTTCTCCAACGGATTCCTTCTTTTTCCAGTCGTGGAATGGATTCCCACCCAGCACCGGACAATCACCATTGCCCTCACCGGCTTGTCTTATACTGTGGGGCAAATCCTCCTGGCGGGCTTGGCCTACTCCATCCGGGACTGGCGTTGGTTGCAGGTGGCCGTTTCGGCACCGTATTTGCTCTTCCTCCTTTATTCCTGGTACGTTGTGGGCAGGGATGGGCTTCAAAAATGTTAGCAAGGGGTTCTCTGCTGGGTGGGCGTAGCCATGGTGGGCGTGGCCTAATTGGCCTCCTGCACCATGGTGGGGTGGGCGTTTTAGCCCTCCCTGGGCTCCAGAGGCTTTTCTCGAGGCTCCGGGAGTGCAAAAATGGCCTCCCCAGGCTCCGAGGGCCCTCTGGAGGCCAGAAACAGGCCTGTTTCCGGCCTTCCCGAACTTCCGGTAGGTCGGTTTTTCGCACTCCCCGAGCCTCTGCGCGCGCCCTGCATTTACCTGCATCCAAAACGGGCCGCGTGGGGTCAGGATAGGGTGGGCGGGGCCAGCCAGGAGTGGGATTTGGGGGTTCCCCGAACTGCACAGAATCATAGCTAGAGGTTCTCTCGAACCCCTGCGAGCCTCCAGCAGCCCACGCCTGCGTGTGGGGATGATGGGTGATGCGATCTTCCCACCCACCCACCCCACTTTTCCCAGAGGGCTGAAGTTTCAGAAGAGAAGGATGGTGGCTCTGGGTAGAAGAGTACAGGGAGTTCCTCGACTTACAACAGCTCGTTTAGTGACCGTTCCAAGTTACAACGGCACTTGGAAAAAGTGACCCTTTGGGCAATGGGGAAGCCAGATTCACTTCACCGTGAACTAACTGAAAAACTGCAGGGATTCCACTTAACCACGGTGGCGAGGAAAGTCACTAAATGAGACAGTCGTTTAACAACTGCCTTGCTTTAGCAACCTAAATTTTAAGCTCAGCGGTGGTTGTCACATATAAAGTTTTATTTTCTTTTAATGCAAACATTTGTTCATTCATTAAACCGTGTGTCGTCTGAGTACAATTTTTTTCTGTCGTAACAAAGCTTACCACCATATTCATGATTTATATCTACTCTTATTTTAATACTAATACTTAACGTATCTATAATTATAATATTTCTCTTCTCAACTTATTTAACTTTATTATACATCACTTTCATATTTTATTCTCTAACCATTGATAAAATAAATCCCATATATTATAGTAATCAGATTCTTCCTTTCCTTTAATGGCAAGTGTTAATCTATTCATTTCTGCACATTCTAATATTTTCTTAATCACATTTCCCTCTGTAGGGATCTCTTCACCCTTCCAATTTTGTGCAAATACAATTCTACCTGCAGTTATTACAAGCGGTGGTTGTTAAGTGAAGGATTACCTAGAGTTTGGCAGGTAGACTTGGAAACCTGTGGAACTCACGGCCACTTGGATTTCTATCTTGCAGGTGGTACGCTGAATCGGCTCGTTGGCTGATCCAGTCCGGCCAGGCCAGTAAGGCCGTTGGGGTTCTCCAGAGAGTGGCCAGGATCAACAAAAAGCAGGAAGCGGGTGAAAGAATCACCACCGAGGTATGGAGGAAACACGGGGGGGGGGGATCACCAAACCGTTATAAAAAATGTTGGGTGGGCGTGGCCATGGTGGGTGTGGCCTAGTCAGCCTTCTGCACCACGGCAGAGGTGGAGCATTTTTGCCCTCCCCGGGCTCCGGAGGCTTTTTTAGAGCCACCGAGAGGGCGAAAACAGCCTCCCCAGGCTCCGGAGGCCCTCTGGAGGCCAGAAACTTCTGGTAGGCCCATTTTTCGCATTCCCCGAGTCTACACGCACGCCCTTCACTTACCTGGATCCAAAACGGACCGTGTGGGGACTCCTGGGAGGGGCGGGGTGGGAGGGGCCAGCCAGGAGTGTGATTTGGGGGTTCTCTGAACTGCATAGAATCTTAGCTAGAGGTTTCCCCCGAACTCCTGCGAAATCCCCAGCAGCCCACCCCTGCCACACATATTAAAGCATGCAAACTAGAGAATTCTGGGAGTTGAAGTCCACCCATCTTAAAGAACTCTGGCTAGGGAATTGTGGGAGTTGACGTTTATATCTATGTAGTCAGTAAGTTGACAACGACTCAGTGGCAATGTAATCAATCAATCAATGTATCAAATATCTACCTTGGAGAAGAACAACAAGGTATTTGGTGATTATTCCACTCTCTTCTTTAAATAATGATTTTTATTTATGAGTTCAAAAATAAGAGCAGAGTGGTGTGGTGCAGAAGTGGAGCTCTGGCCTCACAATCAGGAGGCTGTGAGTTCGATCCTAGGCAGAGGCAGATATTTCTTTCTCTGGGCACCATGAGAATATATCTGCTGAACAAAACTCTGCCCTGGCGACAGGAAGGGCATCCGGTCAGTAAACGCTCTGCTAACTCCATTGAGTTGCCCAGACTCCACCCCGCAAGGAATTATGGGGGTCGTTAAATGATGATGATGAGTGCAAAGATAAGGAAGTAACGCAAACTAACCAAAATATAAAGTATAAAAAAAGGAAAGAGCGCAAAGAGAGAGTAAAAGAAAGTAAAATGATTTTAAAAAAGATATATAAATGGCCCTACAGTAGCTATAAACAATTTATGTAACTTCACAGCTTCTATAGTAGTTCAGGTTTTCTTTAAAAATATCTTTTTCTCCTCTCTTATTTCTGCTCAGTAAACAAATTGTAAAAAGAAAATCACTACTCAGTCCTAATCAGCAAAAATCCCAAGAGCACCCAGAAATAGTAACACATATATTTTTACCTTTGTCAAATTAATCCACTTTGTATGCCAACTTCGTATTCCCTTGTCGAAGTGATAAGCGAGCGATCAGACGAGGAGACCCAAACTCATTGGTAGCCTCGCACTGCAATAAACAAAGATATATATTCAATTCCGCAGCTACTAAGATTGTTGGCCGAGCAGGGACAAAAACAGCCAGAGAAGTTTATTGAAGCCTGGGAAACCCGCCCCATGTCAATCAACAAGAGTACTGATTTACCACCAGCTTATCAAATACTTGGGAGCTGAGCACAAGGAAACAACGATCAACGACTTAATCGCCGGCCATCAACAGCCCAATCAACATCTGAAAAACTACGTACAATAGTCATCGTGCAAATAGTACACACAGAATAGCCCAAAACACACACTCTGCTAGAGAGAAGTTCCCTGAGGATGGGTGCTGGCATGTGTCCGAAAGCTCGGAAGACAAAATGTGTGATCCCGATGACCGAGCCAGATTGGATCCTGCAACATTATCCTGGGGCACTTTTAGTCTCCTTCATTCGCAATAGGTTTCCGCCAGGAGTGGGATTCAGAAATTTTAGCGAGGGGTTTCCTGCCTGGTTGCTGGGTGGGCGTGGACATGGTGGGTGTGGCCTACTCAGCCTCCTGCACCATGGGTGTGTGTGTGTGTGTGTGTTTTCGCCCTCCTCAGACTCTGGAGGCTTTTTGTTCGAGCATCCCAGAGGGCGAAAATGGCCACCCCTGGGCTCCGGAGTCCCACCGGAGGTCGGAAACGGGCCCGTTTTTGGACTTTCAATACTTCTGGTAGGCCCGTTTTTTGCCCTCCCCGGGCTCTGGAGGCTTTCCTAGAGCCTCTGGGAGGGAGAAAATGGCCTCCCCAGGCTCCAGAGGCCCTCTGAGGCTGAAACAGGCCCTTTTTTCAGACTTCCAGTACTTCCGGTAGCCTGTTTTTTGCCCTCCCCAGGCTCCGGAGGCTTTCCTCGAGCCTCTGGGAGGGCGAAAACGGCTTCCCCCCAGGCTCCGGAGGCCGAAATGGCCCTTTTTCAGACTTCCAGTACTTCCGGTAGGCCTGTTTTTTTTCGCCCTCCCCAGGCTCCAGAGGCTTTCCTCGAGCCTCTGGGAGGGCGAAAACGGCTTCCCCCAGGCTCCGGAGGCCGGAAATGGGCCCTTTTTCAGACTTCCAGTACTTCCGGTAGGCCGGTTTTTCGCCCTCCCCAGGCTCCAGAGGCTTTCCTCGAGCCTCTGAGGGCGAAAACGGCTTCCCCCAGGCTCCGGAGGCCGGAAATGGGCCCGTTTCTGGACTTCCGGAACTTCCGGTAGGCCCATTTTTCATCCTCCCACCCAGAGCCTCTGCGCGGCCCTGCATTTACCTGGCATCCAAAATGGGCTATGCGGGGCGGGGTGGGCGGGGTCAGTCAGTCCTTGCAACAACCAGTTTGGTGAACCAGATTAAAATTAACATCCCAGCCCTGGTTTCTGCTCCTCTTATAATTTTCCTCACGCGCTTTTTCTTCTTCGTTCCTGCTAGGTTTTGCTTTCCAGTATGGAGAAGGAATTGTCTTCGTGCAAATCCACCTACACCATTTCTGACTTGGTGCGCACCCCGGCCGTCCGTCGCATTTTCTTCTGCCTCTCCATGGTGTGGTAAGAGAGTCAAGCTGAAGGGCAGCAGCGTCCTTAAAGAAAGCATTTCCTGTTGGTCACTTTTCCAGGAAGACAGAAAGAGGGAGGGGATATGCTCTCTATATTGAAAAGCCCACCCACAGTCAAAAGCAGGAATAAAAGAACTTTTTGGAGCAGCTGCTTAAAGCTTTTTCAAGGATGAATTGTTTTCTTTAGTGACTGTTCACATCATAGTGAACAATGAATTTAATCTTTCTCTTTCTTTCTCTTCTTTCTTTCTTTCTCTCTTCCTCGCTTTTTTCTTTCTTTTTCTCCTTTTCTCTTCTTTCTTTCTATTTCTTTCTTTCTCCTTTCTTTCTCTTTTCATTCTTCCTTTCTCCCTTTTCTTTTTCTTTCTTTTTCTTTCTTTCGCTTTTCATTCTTTCTTTCTCCTTTCTTTTTCTTTCTTTCTTTCTTTTCATTCTTCCTTTCTCCCTTTTCTTTCTTTCTCTTCCTTTCTTTCTTTTCATTCTTCCTTTCTCCCTTTTTCTTTCTTTCTCTTTTCATTTTCTTTCTCCCTTCTTTCTTTTTCTTCTTTCTTTCTTTTTCTCCTTTCTTTCTCTTTTCATTCTTTCTCCCCTTTCTTTCTCTTTTCTTTCTTTCTTCTCTTTTCCTCTTCCTTTCTTTCTTCTGTCTTTCTTTCTTTTCTCCTTTTCTTCCATCCATCCTTCCTTCCTTCCTTCCTCTTTCTTTCTTTCTTTCTTTCCTTCTTTCTTTCTTTCTTTTTATTTTTTCACTGCCCATCTTTGCAAACAACTCGGGGGGGGGGGGCGCTCAACACACAAAAACATATATTACCATTAAAATCTTACAAGCATTTCAAATCAATAAAAACAGTAAAGAAAATTAAAATGATAAAAAAAAAATTAAAACGTCTATTATAATTTAGCAACCTTAGCATTCCCTTAGCACCCACACCATTCATACTTATGGCCGTCTCATTTGCTTAACGACCACTTAAAATGACCACTTAAAAACCCCATCATAAAATCGAGCTGGTTGTGTGAATGATCCATTCAACGACTGTTACAACTACAGGCTGCGTGACGGCCATAACTGGAGGACTACCTGTTAAAAGAGTTCCAGCAGCTTTAGAACCATGGTGTCCTTGAGGGAAATGCTGAGGGCTAGAAACATGGAATATAAATTGAATGCATAAATCTCCCTCTTTTGAGGTGGATATCTTCCGATTTGCTTTCTGTGGTTTGGTGAGGAAGTCAGTCTCTTGACCAATAATGGTGGAACTTGGTGCTGATTTGTTCATACCAGAAAATCTTCAGCAGTCAGGAAGCAACAACAGTAACAGAGTTGGAAGGGGCCTTGGAGGTCATCTAGTCCAACCCCCTGCTAACGCAGGAGACCTGTACTAGGGATTCGAACCGTGTTTTGTGTTTTGTGTATTTCAGGTTCTCTGTCAGCTTCTCCTACTACGGGCTGGTCATGGACCTCCAAAATTTTGGGGTCAGCATTTACCTCATCCAGGTAATTTTCGGCGCGGTGGATTTTCCCGCCAAATTGGTCGTCACAATCACCATGAGCTACATTGGACGGAGGGTCAGCCTCACCGCCTTCCTGCTGACCGCCGGCACCATCATCATCACCAACTTATTCGTGCCCTTGGGTGGGTATCGGCTGATCTGTCGGTTGTGTGTGGTTGCTTTCCTTCCTACGTCAGCATTTAGGATAGGGGTCTCCAACCTTGGCAACTTTAAGATTTGTGGATTTCAGCTCCCAGAATTCCCCAGTCAGCATGCTTTAAGATGGGTGGACTTCCACTCCCAGAATCCCCCAGCCAGTATGCTTTACGATGGGTGGACTTCCACTCCCAGAATCCCCCAGCCAGCATGCTTTAAGATGGGTGGACTTCCACTCCCAGAATTCCCCAGCCAGTATACTTTAAGAAGGGTGGACTTCCACTCCCAGAATTCCCCAGCCAGCATCCTTTAAGATGGGTGGACTTCAACTCCCAGAATTCCCCAGCCAGTATGCTTTAAGAGGGGTGGACTTCATCTCCCAGAATCCCCCAGCCAGTATGCTTTAAGATGGGTGGACTTCAACTCCCAGAATTCCCCAGCCAGCATGCTTTAAGAAGGGTGGACTTCCACTCCCAGAATTCCCCAGCCAGCATCCTTTAAGATGGGTGGACTTCAACTCCCAGAATCCCCCAGCCAGCGTGGTGTTGAAGTCCACCCCTCTTAAAGTTGCCAAGATTGAGAACCATTGTTCCAAGGATTCCATTGGGATTGATATTTAATCTCAGAACTCTGTAATGAAAAGGAACACCAAGGTCATTTAGTTCAACCTCTTCCGTGTGCAAGAAAATCAATTAAAATACCTGAGAGATGTGAGGTAAAATCCGGCATGGCGTGTTTAGCAACCGTCTTGCTTAGCAATGTAAATGTTGGGCTCGCTTGCGACCGACGTTGACCTTACTAAGTGAGACCTATGTTAAGTGAGCTTTGCTCCTTTTATGACCTTTCTTGCACGGTTGTTAAGTGAATCCGGCTTCCCCATTGACTTGGCTCGTCAGACGGTTGCAAAAGGGGATCGTTCAAAGGTCACTAAACTGAACTGTTGTAAGTTGAGGACTATACAGGTTTTATTCCTTTTCTTCCCGCAGAAATGCAGACCCTACGGACGGCTCTGGCGGTCATCGGCAAAGGCTGCCTCTCGGCGGCTTTCAACTGCGTCTTCCTCTTTACGACCGAACTCTATCCGACTCCTATCAGGTGAGGAGAGCTGCCTTGAATGCCCCCTCTGGTGACTCTTGGAACTGTAACTCTCGGGCAGAATCCCCCCCACCCCAGCAGGTCCTGGGTTCAATCCCCCACATTTCCAGGTACGGGTAGTGCTCGACTTACAACCGTGGAGAGCCGTGGTGGCGCAGTGGTTAGAATGCAGGATTGCAGAGTTCGATCCTGACTGGCTCAAGGTTGGCTCAGCCTTCCGTCCTTCCGAGGATGGTAAAATGAGGACTCAGATTGTTGGGGGCAAGAGGCTGACTCTGTAAACTGTTTAGAGAGGGCTGTAAAAGCACTGTGAAGCGGTATATAAGTCTAGGTGCTATTCCTTCCTTCCTTCCTTCCTTCCTTCCTTCCTTCCTTCCCTCCCTCCCTCCCAGTGGTTAGGTTAGGTTGTAGCCTAATTCTGCCCACTGTAAAGCACTATACAGCGGTATATAAGTCTAAGTGCTATTGGTATTGCTCGTCCTTCCTTCCTTCCTTCCTTCCTTCCTTCCTTCCTTCCTTCCTTCCCCCAATTCATCTCTCATTCATGTTTTCTTCTACCTAATATCTCCCTTCCTCTTATTTCCTTCCTTCCTTCCTTCCCTCCCTCCGGTTAGAATGCAGTATTGCAGGCTGACTCTGCCCATTGCCAGGAGTTCAATCCTGATGGGCTGAAGGTTGACTCAGCCAGCTGTCCCTTCCTTCCTTCCTTCCCTCCCTCCCTCCCTCCCTCCTTCCTTCCTTCTATAGTTTTTTATAAATTGCGAATCTGAATCTTCTTTAGGTATAAGTAGGCCTCTATCCTCTATCCAGGAATCCGGTACTTTTGCTTTTAATAAAAGCGCAGAGCATTTTTGATGACGTCTGGGCAGGTGGGCGGAGCCTCCTGCCGCTGCCGCTACCAGTTCGCACGACCTGGGGCGAACCGGTACAAACCCAGCACTGAATCTCACTGATCTTTGCATCCTCTCTTCCTTTCTTCCTCCCCAGACAGACCGGCCTGGGTTTCGGCAGCACGATGGCCCGCGTAGGCGGCATGGTCTCCCCAATGACCAGCATTTTAGGGGATTATTACTCCTTCCTTCCCCCCGTTGTGTTCGGGCGCTTCCCATCTTGGCCGGAATTATCGCCTGTCTTCTGCCGGAGACTTTGAATGTCCCGTTGCCGGATACGATCGAAGATGTTGAGAACAGGTGAGGGAGTGGTTAGCGTTGGCGTTATACGCTGGGCGATTTGGGCCCCACAGCTGAGCTTTGCAAATTCTTTATTTATTTATATCATTTTTTAAAAAATTGCCTCTTGACTGTATGGATGGCCCGTAAATCGAACAAACGAACAAATGAATGAATAGGTTAAGAATAAATAAAAATAAATAAAAAATAAGTTTTAAGTAAACGATAAAGACTAGGATAGGATAAAATAAAGGACCTTCTTGCCTGGGGAATTCTATGAATTGAGTCCATCTGTGCTGGCTAGGGAATTCTGGGAACTGAAGTCCACCCATGCTGGCTAGGGAATTGAGTCCATTCTGGCTGGGGAATTCTGGGAGTTGAAGTCCATCTATGCTGGCTGGGGAATTCTGGGAACTGAAGTCCACCCCTCTTAAATTAATCGATGTTAATTGAACGATATGAATGATGGAGATGCTTTCCTGCTGACGTACGATTTATTCTTTTCCCTTTAAACCCCAGATCCAAAAAGACAAAAAAGAAGAGCGAGGAAGAGATTGCCCAAGAGAAAATCTTGCTTCAGAGGCAGGAAAAAGTTTTGTTCAAAGAGACTTGCTGACCGTTTGATTCTGGAGAGAAAAGTTCTTAGAGCTCATTTTCAAATGTGCGTTTAGAAAGGTGGAAGATACGATGTTTCTGGACATGTATTTTCAATTTTTTTTTTTTTTAAAAAAAGGAACCTAGTTTTCGTTCTTTCTTTTTCTTGTATTTTACAGGGATGGGTGATCTCTGAGCTAAGCCAGCCTCACTGGGGTGGGTGGAGAAACGGAACTCATTGCTGTGATAATAAATATGGAGAGTCCTCTGAACATGCACAGAGTTTATTTCCAAAAACAAACTCTTGGGTTGTCAGGGATTCCTTCCTTTTAGACAGGAGCTCCAAACCACATTTATTTTCTGCCAATCTGTAATTCTTGCCATTCTTCTCTCCTCCTCCTCCTCCTCCTCCTCTCCTCCTCCTCCTCCTCCTCCTCCTCCTCCTTCTTCCCCCCCCCAAATCACAGATTTAGAAGTTTTTCCTGACCTTGTTGCCTGCTTGTAATAAAGTAGTTTATTTTATCACATCAGATACCTGTACAATTAGCACAGCCACTCCCCCCACCCCAAGGCTGTGTGCTCTCCCCACTTCTCTTCTCTCTGTATCCCAATGACTGCATCTCCCAACGATCCATCTGTTAAACGACTGAAGATTGCAGATGACACAACAGTGATCGGTCTCATTCGAGACAACGATGAATCCGCATACGGACGGGAGGTTGAACGACTAGCCTCGTGGTGCGACTGGAACAATCTGGAACTGAACACACTGAGAACCGTAGAAATGGTGGTGGACTTTAGGAGAAACCCTCTTATACTTCCACCTCTCACAATACTAGACAAGACAGCATCGACAGTAGACCTTCAAATTCCTAGGTTCTACCATATCGCAAGATCTAAAATGGACACCCAACATCAAAAACACACAACAAAGAATGTTCTTTCTGCACCAACTCAGGAAGCTCAAACTGCCCAAGGAGCTGCTGATCCAGTTCTACAGAGGAATTATGGAGTCTGTCATCTGCACCTCCATAACTGTCTGGTTTGGCTCTGCAACCCCAACAAGACAGACAGAGACTTCAGAGGATCATTAGAACTGCAGAAAAAACCATGGCTACCAACCTGCCTTCCATGGAGGACCTGTAAACTGCACGAGTCAAAAAAGGGTTGGGAAAATATCTACAGACCCCTCGCATCCTGGACATCAACTGTTTCAACTCCTACCCGCAAAACGATGCTATAGGGTACTGCACACCAAGACAACTAGACACAAGGAGTTTTTTCCCAAATGCCATCACTCTGCTAAACAAATAATTCCCTCAACACTGTCAAACTATTCCCTAAGTCTGCACTACTATTAATCTTCTCATCGTTCCACCACCCATCTCCTCCCACTTATGACTGTAACCTTGTTGCTTGCATCCTTACGATTTATATTGATATTGTTTCCTGATTGCTTATTTGTACCCCATGACTATCATGAAGTGTTGTACCTTATGATTCTTGATGTACGTATCTTTTCTTTTATGTACACTGAGAGCGTATGCACCAAAGACAAATTCCTTGGGTGTCCAATCACACTTGGCCAATAAAAAATTCTATTCTATTCTATTTTTTTTGCAATGTTGAGGTTTGCACTTTGAGAACAAATTCTGATCATTTCATGGAGGTATTTTTTGGGGTAGTTTGGCTTTCTTCTTGGCTTTCTTTCTTTCTTTCTTTTTTTTTAAATTTCCCAGATGGGTCCTTCGTGATCACCCCATCCATGAATTAACCAAGTTTAACCCTGCTAAACACGGTGGCTCAGTGGCTAAGATGCTGAGCTTGTTGATCGAAAGGTCGGCAGTTCAGCAGTTCGAATCCCTGGTGCTGCCGCGTAACGGGGTGAGCTCCCGTGACTTGTCCCAGCTTCTGCCAACCTAGCAGTTCAAAAGCAGGTAAAAAATGCAAGTAGAAAAAAATAGGGACCCCCTTTGGTGGGAAGGGAACAGCGTTTTCCGTGCGCCTTTGGCGTTGAGTCATGCCGGCCACATGACCACGGAGACGTCTTCGGACAGCGCTGGCTCTTCGGCTTTGAAACGGAGATGAGCACCGCCCCCTAGAGTCGGGAACGACTAGCACATCTGGGCGAGGGAAACTTTACCTTTAGCCCTGCTTCGCTTTTGCAAAACACAAATGCTTTCAGACAGCAAAAGGTCGTTAATTGTTCAGCGCCAGTTATGGGCCGTATCTGGCAATCGCCAATCGTAAAAATAAACCGACATCGTTGACTAGTTTGCAATCATGGCTTCTAGGCTGCGAAGGGGAAGGGTGTGTGGGTTTCCATCTTTTTAAGATGGCAGCCAACGGCTTTGGATATACCAAGAAGGCATCGATCGATCATTTGTTCCTCATGGAATTTTTTTTTCTTTTTTGGTCTCTTTCAGCAAGCAGAAAGTTAATAAGTTGTCGTTTTCGTCTGGCTTGGAAAAATGAGGGGAATAAAGTCCATTGTTCAAATCACACTGGTGCAGTTGCGATCGGGGGTGTTGAACAGGGGGAAAAAATGTGAGTTTGTGTGTCAGGGGGCAGCAGCATGTGGCATAATAAGGCCATCAATTCCAATTAGCGGGTGATTTGGAGTGTAGGAATTTAGCACCCAACCCTCTCCTAGGAAAATGAGATATTTTAGGAAATATTAAAAAGGGCAGAATATTTCCCCAAAAAGGGAGGTAGAAACTCAGCCCCCCCTTTTTGTCAATGAGCCGTCTATTCTACATAACAAAGATCTACCTCCTTCAGGCAGAGCCATAAGAGGAATTGCCCAAAGCCCCTTTCATTACATCATCACCCAGCAAGGCTCAACCAAGCTTGGGACAAAGACAACCTACAAAGTTACCCCTGCATGGCCCCCGTGGGAGTCTGACAGCCAATCAGAATGCAAGTTCAAATTCAAAAGCCCAGAGAGGGTATAAAACTCAGGCACTCTCAGCATCTCTCCCCGTTTTTTGCCCAGGATCTCAAGCCATGTGATCCTGTTCATCATTAAACCATTTTTCCAAGCAAGTTCTGTGGAGCCAGTGGTCTTTTCCCCCACTTGGAACTGAACCCAGAAGGACATTTCTTCCAACTGGAGGATGGTAAAACATGGAGGCGTTTGATAACCAGGTTAAGGGTGAGGTAGTCCCAGCAAACTTCTTTTATTCAAACGGCTGTGAATTATTGTCCTTCCCAGTCCGAAAGTCTTTCAGGGGAGTTTTACAAACACCCTCCTTATCTCCCTTGGAATGCTGCCAGAGAACTAATTGCCACACGCAGGGCAAGGCCAAACTTAGCACAGAGTCAAACAGAGCTTTTCCAGAGCTTTTAGCGACCAGATGAACTAATTGCTTCCTGCGAAAGCTCACATCCCATTCGCTCCTCTTTTATGTCTTATGGGAGGGGCCGATCATCTCCAAGCCTTACTCCCAAGTCGACCCTGTTTCCTTAATTGTTCCTGTCTCCTGGCAGCTCTGTTCATGCGCATACAGGGAACAGGCTCCCACTGTTCTTCTGCCTTGCTGATGTGAGACTCCAGAGGCAGCAAAGAACTACCAGATGGCCTTGGCCCCCACTCTACCTCCGACTCAGAGCCCTTGTCCGAGCCTTCCCCAGACTCCAGGACTGGCCCACGTTCCTCCCCAACCTCCTCACTGTCCGAATCTGCCGTCAGCTCTGCTGGCCGCTGGCAGGACAGAACACAGCCGCCTTAGGCAGGGGTGGCTGAGATGCAGCCCCTGAGCCAACCTGACCCAGAAGGAGGGCTACGTCTGGTTCTGAAAGGCGACTCCACTTCCTGGTGCACCACCACAGATGCGATGAAATCTCACTTCAAGCCAAAAAGAAAGAAGAGGGAAAGAAAGGCCCAGTGGGCATTTTGCGAAAGAGAACCAGATATTAAGGCCACATCCCTCCAAAGACAAGAAAGAGAAGGGGAAGGGGAGAGAGGGAAGATGGAGAGGTGAGAAGGGAGGGAGGGAAGGAAGGACAAAGGGAGGGAGGGAGGAAAGGAGGAAGGAAGGAAAAGGAAGGGAAGGAGGGAAAGAGAGGGATGGATGGAAGGATGAAGGAAGGAAGGAAAGAAGGAAGGAAGGAAGGAAGGAAGGAGAGGGGAAGGGCATTGTTTGGCTCAGAACTGTGAAAAATAAGATAAAATAAAAGGAGGGAGGGAGGGAGGGATGAAGGAAGGAAAGAAAAGGAAGGAATGAGGGAAGGAAGGAAGGAAGGAAAAGAAAGAAAGGAAAGAAGGAAGGAAGGAAGGAAGGAAGGAAGGAAAAGGAAGGGAGGGAGGGAAGGAGAGAGGGACAGACAAAGGAAGGAAGAAAAGTAAGAAGGAAGGAAGGAAGGAAAGAAAGAAGGAAGGAAGGAAAGAAAGGGAGAGGAAGGTATCTGGGTGGGTCAGAATTGTGAAAAATAAGATAAAAAAGGAAGGAAGGAAGGAAGGAAAAATAAGATAAAAGGAAGGAAGGAAGGAAGGAAAAGGGAGGGAGGGAGGGAGGGAGGGAAGGAGAGAGGGACGGACAAAAGAAGGAAGGAAAAATAAGATAAAAGGAAGGAAGGAAGGAAGGAAGGAAGGAAGGAAGGAAGGAAGGAAGGAAGGAAGGAAAGGGAGGGGAAGGTGGCTGAGTGGTTCAGAATTGTGAAAATAAGATAAAATTAAAGGATGGATGAAGGGAGGGGAGGGAGTTTGAGTGGTTCAGAACTGTGAAAAATAAGATAAAATAAAAGGAGGGAAGGAGGAGAAAGTGAAGGAAGGAGATGGGGATGAGGAAGGGAGGGAGGAAGGAATGACGACCTCCATTTTTAATGCAGGGGTGCAAGGCTATTGCCATCTCCCCCTTTTCCAAAAGAAGTAAGTCCAGTTTTCTTTGAAGTTGCCGTTCGGGGAACCGGACCCAGTCTTGCAATTCCCTCCCTTCTCCTCTCCTTGGTCCTTTTGACACCCCCTCCACCCCATCCCAGGAGATCACTTGACTTTTAGATCCAGAAGGGCCACCCCTGTTTCTGAAAGAGACAAATCTTCCACGCCATCCAAGATAGAATGCAGATGTGTACTTGCAAAAAAAGAGAGAATTTTTTCCTTCAAGCATCCCAAACTTGGCAACTTCAAGACTTGTGGGCTTCAACTCCTGGAAATCCTTAGAGCCAACCCTACTGGCTGGGGAATTCTGGGAGTTGAAGTCCACCAAGTTGCCAGATTTGGAGACTCCTGGCTTTACAACACCAGAGAGCAAAGATGGGGGGTGAGATTATGAAAAGGTTTTTCATCTCCAGATGGGTTTGGAAGGTCAACCAGAAACACGGTTGAAGTGTCTTCTCCTCGTCCATTTTCTTGCAAAATCTTGAAGATCAGTCGTGGTGATCAGGAGGCATCTGTGCAGCTTCCTCCTCCTCGTTACTGGCCAAGTTCTCCATGACCACCAGAAGATCTTGGATCTTCTCCCAAGGGCAGTTAATTTCTAACACGTGCCATGTGAATGATACACCCAATCCTGGGGTCAAGAGGCTTCATCTCTTGCGTGAAGTTGATCTTTGGGCCGAAAAGTCACACCAGCAGTTTGCAACCTCCGTGTCTTTTTTCACACTTCCATCCTCTGTTGTGCTGTCACATTTTAACCTGGAGCTCAACTAGAACTTGCCTCCGTCCTGGTTCACCTTCTTGGAAGATCGGAGGTTTTTTTCCCAAAAAAAGAGAATTTTTCCACAGAAAGTGAGAAGACAGTTTTTGCTGGATGGAGAACGGCCCGTCCCACCCAGATTAAGGGAGGCGGTATATTTAATCCTTGATTCCAGAAGAAGACTTCCAAACAGCATCCTTCATATTTTTTGGCTTCTAGAGAAGACCTCTTGATTTTCTGGTCAAAGAGACCCTGGTTGAAGATCCTTTGGAGATCTGATTGAAGGTCCTTTGAAAAAACTACTTGAAGGTCCTTTGGAGACCTGGTTAAAGGTCCTTTGGAGATCTAGTTGAAGAGCCTTCGGAGAAACTGGTTGAAGGTCCTTTGGAGATCTGGTTGAAGATCCTTTGGAGATCTGGTTGAAGGAGGTCCTTTGAAGAAACTGGCTGAAGGTCCTTTGGAGGTCTGATTGAAGGTTTTTTGGAGATCTGGTTGAAGATCCTTTGGAGATCTGGTTGAAGGTCCTTTGAAGATCTGGTTGAAGGTCCCTTGAAGAAACTAGTTTAAGTCCCTTCAGAGAAACCGGTTTAAGGTCCTTCCTAAAAAAACAGTGCTAATGCAAGGTTTGATAGACATCTACCAGAAAGAGGTCCAAGTGCTACATCCTTTTCCTCCATCTTCTCACACACACACAGGGTTCTCCAAGTTTGATCCTTCCAGCTGTCCATCATGGGCTTCACAGAGATCTTAGAACACGTTGGCAGCATGGGACGCTTCCAAATCGTCTACGTGACTCTCGTCTCCATTCCGGTGCTGATGATGGCTTGTCATATGATGCTGCAGAACTTTACCGCAGGGACGCCGGATCACCACTGCGCCACTAGCCGCGACGCCGCTCCCAGAAACCGGAGTTCCGAAGACGAGGCTCTCCTTGTGGTCTCCCTTCCCATGGATGAAAACCGAAAGCCAGCAGAGTGTCGCCGTTTCCGCCAGCAGCAGTGGTGGCGTCCGAATGGCACCGCAGAGAACGAAACTCAGATGGAAACCGAACCATGTGGAGACGGATGGGTGTACAACCGAAGCATCTTCCACCAGACGATTGTGACCGAGGTGAGGCCAAAGGTTGTCTGGATTCAGAGGTGATCAGGTTGGGCACATCCAAGTTCTCAAATGTGGGGGTGGGTGAGCCTGAGACTCCCCCAGACACTGTAAGATGGTGGTGAACCTATGCCATGCGTGCCACAGGTGGCACGCTGCGTCATATCAGTGGACACGCGAGCTCAGCTCCGGTGCACTGATTTTCAGGCCTTCTGGGCCACCCGGAAGTTGGCAAATGGGCCGTTTCTGGCCTCTGGCGGGCCTGAGGGGGATGGGGAAAGACCATTTTTTGCTTTCCCCAGGCTCCAGAGCCTCTCTAGGAGCCTGGGGAGGGCGAAAACGGCCTTTCCCACTCCCCTGGAGGCCCTCCAGAGGCCGGAAATAGCCCATTTGCCAACTTCCGGAAGCCAGAGAGGCTCTGGAGCCTGGGGAGAGCAAAAAAGGGGTCTTCCGGTCCCATTGGAAGTCGACAAATGGGCCATTTCCAGCCTCCTGAGGGCCTGTGGGGGGATGGGGAAGCCGTTTTCGCCATCACCAAGCTCCTAGAGAGGCTCCCTGGCTTCCGGAAGTTGGAAGTTCGGTGCGCCCCCTGCGGTCCCCCTGCTTTTGGCACATGATGGCAAAAAGGTTAGCCATCACTGGTATAGGCAGTCCTCGATTTACAACCGTTCGTTTAGTGACTGTTCAAAGTTACAAAGGCACTTATGACCATTTTTTTCACAGGACCGTTGCAGCATCCCCAGGGTCGTCATCACGTGATCCAAATTCAAACGCTGGGCAACTGGGATAGACTTATGACGGTTGCGGGGGTCCCAAGGTCACGTGACCCCCCCCCCTTTTGCAACCTTCTGATAAACCAAGCCAATGAGGAAGCTAGATTCACTTTACGACCATGGTGTTGCTAACTTAAGCGGGCGATTCTTCTCCCGTGTTTTAGAACAAGCTGCTAAAAATAAGCGATAGATTTATTTCTCGCCCAATCCTAAGGCCAGGGAGATGGATTTTATTTTTTATAACACCTTGCCCCAAAATGCATTTATAACAGAATAATAAGAGTTGGAAGGGACCTCGGAGGTCTTCTAATCCAACCCCCTGCTCAAGTAGGAGACCCTATAGCCATGAGGGCGGACCCATGGCATGCAGAGTGACACGCAGAGCCATTTCTGTGGGCACGCGAGCGTTGCCCTAGCTCGAATCCAGTGTGCATGCACGCATCAACCAACTAAATTTCGGGCCTTCCGGGCCCACCGGAAGTCAGGAAACAGGCTGTTTCTGGCTTCCGGTGGGGGTGGGGAAGGCCGTTTTCACCCTCCACAGGCTCCTAGAAAAGCCTCCATCATGTCATCGCGTACCAAAAGTGGGGGGGCTTCACATGCACATGTGCGGGGAGGGCAGGGCACATTGAATTATGGGTGTGGGCACGCGTGCATGCGACCCCACCCCCACCCCCGTGGTCCCCCTGCTTTTGGCACGCAACCGCAAAAAGGTTAGCTATCACTGCCCATATATAGTGGTACGCAAAGCCCTCTCTGCGGGCACACCAGCCATCGCCCCACTGTAGCTCCACAGCGCATTTGCATTGCCGGCCAGATGGTCTTTGGGTCTCTGCCGCGCATGCACCGAGTGGGGCGCATGGGGGGGGGACACATGTCGGGGTGCTGCTGGTTGATGCAGGAGGCTTTCTAGGCCCAAAACGAGGCACATGGGGGCTTGTGCGGTGCCCCCGCGCCCCGTTTTGCCTTCCAGGTTGGTGCAGGAGGCTTTCGAGGTCCAAAATGGCGCGGAAGGGGCTGCCCCGTGCCTCGTTTTGGGCCTGGAAATCTTCCTGCACCAACCTGCAAGGCACGGTGGGGGGGCGTATGTGCACAAATTTGCAAAGCCCACCGTGTGCAGGAAACACAGCACCCTAATTTTAAATTGAGAGTTGGGACACATCCGTAGAGCGATGGAAGTTCCAAAGTGTGCACAGTTCCTGGGAGGCAAAAACCTATTTTTGGTGGGTGGGGGAAAGAAAATAATGGCTTTAAAATATATATATTTTCTCTTTGTCCTTCTGCATGACCCCAAATCTTTCGGCAGTGGGATCTGGTTTGTTCCTCCCGGACACTAAAGCAAATGGCTCAGTCGATTTATATGGCTGGAGTTTTAGTCGGCGGGATCTTATTCGGCGGCCTCTCGGACAGGTGAGTGACGAGAATTTCGGTACCCAAGTTCGACATGTTGTAAAGTGGGGGGAAATTGCTATAGCTCGGCTCGACTCTGCATCCCAGGAATGTCTCGGAGTGTGTGCAGAGGTTTTTCTTTATTAAATGCGTTTAATGGTGTCAATGAATGCCAAATTAATTGGCGTTCATTAATGCAAAAATAAAAAATGAATGCAAATAAAAAAAAATATGCACCAATATTTTCGGCGCGGTGCGAACCCAGGATAAAAAAATAGCTGTTAATGTTGTAGGATGGATGCTAAGGGGATAATGGACTGGATAACTTTGCAGCTGAGAAACGCTTCTGGGCATGTGCAAAGTGCTAGGTTTTTCTCCCCCCCCCCTTCATTACATGCATTTAGCGTGCATCAATATCCTAGGTGCAGGTCGGATCCAGGATAAAAGTACCAATTAATGTTGTAAGAGGCAAAACGATCATTAACTGGATAACTTTGCAACCAGAGAGTGCGTCTGGGCATGTACAAAGTGCTAGGGTTTTTCTTTATCAAATGCCTTTAGCATGCATCAATATCCTAGGTGCAGTGTGGATCGAGGATAAAAGTACCAAATTAACGTTATAAGACACTAAGCGATCATTAACTGGATAAGTTTGCAAGGGAGAATTCCTCTAGCCATGTGCAAAGTGCTAGTTGTTTTTTTTTTTTTTCTTGATTACATGCATTGAACATGCACCAATATCTTAAGTGCAGATGTAGGATAAAAGTATCATTTAAGACGCTAAGGGGATAATTAAACAGATAACTTAGCTTCTGCTAAGACCCACCCAGTTCTGTACAGTGATGTCTTACTGAATGACTCGGTAAAATATTTCTATTAATATTTACTCCTAATTTAGAAGACCAGGTTGCAGTGCTTAAACGCTAACTGGAATAAAGCTCACAGATTTAAGAGACACGAGGGGAAAAATAAAACAAAATGGCAAAACTCCTCTCTAAAAACTGGGGCCCCGTTTTGCACTGCGGGTAATCCTTGATTTACGACCACAACTGAGCTCCAATTTTCTGCTGCTATAAAGCGAGACATTCGTTCAGTGATATATTTGCACCATTTTACAACCCGGCTTGCCAACCCTGTTAAGGGAATCAGCGTCGCTGTTAAATTAGTAACACGGTCGTTAACTGAGTCGCATTGATTTTGCTTGTCGGAAGGGGATTGCATGATTTACCCGTAACTATCGTGAGTTGCCAAGCGTCTCAATTTTTGATCACGTGACCATGGAGATGCCGCAACGGCCGTAAGTTCGAAAATGGTCATAAATCCCCTTTTTTGTGGCTGTCGTAACTTTGAACGGTCACTAAATGAACCATTGTAAGTCGAGGACTCCTTGTATTACTTTCCAAGTCCATCTGGTTGTTTGCTGCCAAAGAGGCTTCCCTTTTTCTGCTTTGTTCCAGCAAGCTTGAAAATTTATTTCCAATTTAAAGTGGGGTTTGGATGCTGAGTGAAACTCCCATGGGAAGCATGATGGTTGGGGTATGCAGGCAGTCCTCGACTTACAACACTTCATTTAGTGACTGCTCGAAGTTACAATGGCACTGAAAAAGGTGACTTATGGCCATTTTTCACAGTTACGAGACTGTCTCAGCCATCCCCACAATCATGCGATCAAAATGCTTGGCAAGCGATTCATATTTATGACGGTCGCAGTGTCCCCAGGGGGGACACCTGACTCCCTTTTGCGACCGTCTGACAAGCAAAATCCAGGGACGAAGCCGGGTTCACTTAACAACCGGATGACTAACTTATCAAGTGCAAGTGATTCGCTTAACAATTGTGGCAAGAAAAGTCATAAAACGGGGCAAAACCAGGGATGAAATGCTCCCAGTTCGGACCAGATCACCTGATCCGGTAGCGTTGGAGGCAAGTGGTTTGGAGAACCGGTAGCAAAAATCCCTGCCCCCCCCCCCATTGCCCAGCTGAGCTGCGCAATCATCAGAGGCTTTTTTTTAATTTTTAAAAGCATTTTTTCTACAATCTCTTCGGCCAAAAAAATGCTTTTAAAAGTAAAAAAAAAAAAGCCTCTGATGATCCTGCGGCTCAGCTGGGATCATCAGAGGCTTTTAAAAGCATTTTTTTCTACAACCTCTTCGGCCGAAGAGGTTATAGAAAAAATATTTTTAAAGGGGAAAAAAAAGCCTCTGCCAATCTGGCAAATCAGCTGGGATCGTCAGAGGCTTTAAAAGCATTTTTTTTTACAACCTCTTCAGCCGAAGAGGTTGTAGAAAAAATGGTTTTAAAAGTTAAAAAAAAAAAAAAAAGTTGGCCACGCCCACTCAGTCATATTCCCACCACCACCACCAAGCCACACCCACAGAACCGGTAGTAACAAATTTTACCTATCATCGACTGGGCAAAACTCACCTGACAAATGTTTCAGGAATTTGGGGCTCGGCCGTGGTCGTACGTCGAGGTCTACCTGCATGAAGAAAGAGGCATTTGTGCCTTACTAAATCAGTTCAAGAATGAACCATTTTTTTTTTCCCTTCTTTCCTTTTTCTAAGAAACTTCCGAAGTCTTGGTAGTACAGGGCTTTAAGGCACCCTGTTATTAAGCTGGTTATTAAGACCAGCTGCCTGCAATTACTGCAGGTTCGAATCTCGCCAAGGCTCAAGGTTGACTCAGCCTTCCATCCTTTCTAAGGTAGGTAAATTGAGGACCCAGTTTGTGGGGGCAATAAGCTGACTTTGTATAAATATACAAAAGAATGAAGGCTATTGCTGAGCACATTGTAAGCCGCCCTGAGTCTTCGGAGAAGGGCGGCATATAAATCAAATTAAAAAAAAAAAAGTCAATTGTCTCGCACATGACAGGATCAAAGGTGGTATTGAGCGGGTTCCGATGAAAATGAGAACGGGAGACAGAATTTCGGCTCCATCTTTTCTTCCTCGTATCGACTTTCCTCCCCACTTCCGTTCTGACGTTCCTCCTTTTTCTGCCACGCAGATTCGGTCGCCGGCCGGTCCTCTTGTGGTGTTACCTGCAGCTGGGCGTATCCGGCACAGCGACTGCGTTCTCTCCCCAATTCAGCGTCTACTGCGTCCTCCGTTTTCTCTGCGGGATGGCTTTCTCGGGCATCGTGCTCAACGGCGTCTCTCTGTGTGAGTCCCTGGGATCAAACCATTGCCACGTGAACCATCTTTCCCCCGTTTGCGGCAATCTGGCGTTGAGCGATCTGCGAGCCGTAAATAGAACCTCCATGGGCAGGAATAGTTGGCCTTCAAAGGTGCTTTTTTTTCCGGAGGCAACTGGACTTCCTTGTTTTTTCTTTTGAAGATGTTTCGTTTCTCCTCCGAGAAGCTTCTTCAGCTCTGACTGGATGGTGGAGAATAGAAGGATTTAGATTCCTTGCAGACGGCTGGTCATTTGCGTTCTTTCAGAGAGTCGTTGAGGCCACCTTTGCACAACGTACATGCACACTTCAAACCCAAGAATACACTAAAAGGCATAAGCTTGTCGACCCCAAGGATAAAACACCCAGACACAAAGTGAGCGATGTGGTAATGCAGTACAATGCAGTAAGCCATGTGCAGATCTTTACATTGGGGAAACAAAACAGCCACTTCACAAACGCATGGCACAACATAGGAGAACAAACCCATCAGGACACGATTTAGTACTTCCATCTGCATTTAAAAGACAAAGGCCGCTCTTTTGAAGACAGCAAAGTCCACATTTCGGACAGAGAGGACCGCTGGTTTGAAAGAGGGGTCAAAGAGGGGTCATCAGTGTCCCAAAATGAACAACCCTCTCCCAACAGAGAGGGAGGGATACAACATCGTTTCTCTCCAGTCTACAACACAGTCCTTTCAGCAGGACACAGGTAAACCTCCAAGTGGCCTCAACGACCCTCTAAAAGGATGCAAATGACCAGCTGTCTGCAAAGAGTATCAATCCTTCCATTCCTCACCATTCCACCAGTCAGAGTGGAAGAAGCTTCTTGGATGAGAAGCGAAACGTCTTCAAAGAAAAAAAAACAAAGAAAATCCAGTTGCCTCCTGAAAAAGCACCTTTGGGACAACCTTGACCTGGATGACGGAGAATTTCCATAGGTTCCGTAGACCTTAAAGTCACTATTATTCCGTTATTTTTGGAGCGTGGTTTGTTTTCTCGCTAAATTTATCTCTTGGCAGCCCTGATGGTTTCCACTTGCCAATTTTGAGTTTTTTTCCTAACCTGGGCAGTTTGAAAGCTTTCGAATGCTGGTTCTGCTTTTCCCAAATCCAGTTTTATAACCTTCTTCTTCACGACGGTTATTAAGCGAACCTGGTAGTTGTTAAGTGAGGCCACTGTTTTCTCTGGCCAATTTGAGTTTTTTTTCCTAACCTGGGCAGTTTGAAAGCCTTCGAATGTTGGTTCTGTTCTTCCCAACAGGTGTGGAGTGGACGCCCACTAAGACCCGGGCAGTGCTGGGCACCATCAATGGCTGTGCGTACACCACTGGGCAGCTCGTCCTGGCCGGCCTGGCGTACACTTTCCGAGATTGGCACCACTTACAACTGGCGGTCTCTCTACCATTTTTCTTTTTCTTCTGTTATTCTTGGTAAATAGGACACGGCTTCCTGAGACAGTAAAAAAGCACACGATTAGTCCCCAAAGCTCTCTTTTTATTTCAACGGCTGTGAATTACGTTCATTCACAGCCCGTGCTGAGTCACAAAGAGTTTGTAAAGAGTCCGACAGAAGTCTGCCACAGTCCTTTGGAATAAGGCTGATGAGTACCCACTTTTATCTCCCTTGACACGCTGCCAAAGGCCTAATTGGCAATTAGCTTTGCAAGGCCGCACGGAGCACAGAGTCAAAACGGAGCTTCAGAATTTAAACCGTCCAGAACGAACAAAGTTGCTTCCTGCAAAGGCTCACGTGCCTTTGCTCCTCCTTTATGTCCTATCGGAGGGGTCAATCATCTCCAAGCCTTACTCCCAAGTCGTCCCTTTTGCCTTCTGGCAGCTCTGCGCATGCGCGCACTGGGAACAGGCTCCCCCTGTTCCTCTGCCTCACTGATGTCCGACTCTGGAGGCTCTGGAGGCAGCACATAACTCCCAGATGGCCTTGGCCCCATCTCTGCCTCCGACGCAGAGCCCTCTTCCAATCCTTCCCCAGACTCCAGGAGTGGCCCATGTTCCTCCCCAACCTCCTCACTGTCTGACTTTGCTGCCAGCTCCGCAGGCTGCCGGCGGACCACAACAACAGGGGTAAATTAAGGGACCGGGAAACAGCCGTCCTTCCCATATCCTGTCCCCAATTTTAGCCTTCGTTAAGACACATATCAATGCACTAGTCCTTAGCATGGAAACCAAAGACGCAATGACATATTTTCAACTCCCGGCTCGTTTGCCGAGCTGGAAACTATAGCATTAACTGGGAAATAGTTGGTAAGCCTCGGCGTGACTCTCCTTGTGGTGTCTTTTTCCTTTTCTCCATCCTTCGTCCTTCCACAGGTGGCTTTCTGAATCAGCTCGCTGGCTGATAACAGCCGGGAAGCTTGAACGGGCCGTGACGGAGCTCAAGAGGGTGGCCCAAATGAACAGGAAAGAGGAAGCTGCTGGAAAGCTCAATGTTGAGGTGAAGACCCAAAAGACTAAAAGATTAATTCCGTTTTTTGCATAGTTGCGCCTCATTTTGATCATGCGACTGTGGGGAATGTTGCCATGGTCGTAAGTGCGAGGACAGGCCGTAAGTCTCTTTTGCAGTGCCATCGTGATTTCAGGCCGTCATGAAATGAATGGTCGTAGGTTGAAGGCTCCCTGTGGGGTTTTACAATACAGGTAGTCCTCAAGTTATGACCGCCATTGAGGCTGGCAATTGTGGTCATAAGTTGTGATTGTTTGTAAAACAGCTCACTGCGCGACTAGATCCAATTTTACAACCTTTTTCAGGACAGTCATTAAGCGAACCAGCAGTTCTTCTCTCTGGGCTAGTTTTTTCCCCAGAAACCAGTCATAAAACCCAAAAACGGTCATAAGTTGCAGTCACTTGACCGCAAGGTGCTGCAAATGGCCGTAAATCCCAGTCGGTTGTTGAGGGCCCAAAATGTGGTCACATGATACCCCCGCAAGGGCCGGGGGAGGGGCAATACCTCAGCTTCACTGCTGAGTGGTAGATCATTATTGGGGGGGGGGGAATTCCGTCGTAACTTCAAAAAGTCGTTAAGTGGTCTGTTGTAAGTCGAGGACTACTTGTGCCTCAGACCAGGTTTTCGGACTTGGCCCTTCACACACCATTAAAAAGCACCCAAATTGAAAAACTCAATCAGGCCTTACAATGTATCCCCCCCGTCCTCAGTGGTGGGTTTCAAAATTTTTTACTACCGGTTCTGTGGGTGTGGCTTGGTGGGCGTGGCTTGGTGGGTGTGGCAGGGGAAGGATGTTGTAAAATCTCCATTCCCACCCCACTCCAGGAGGAAGGATACTGCAAAATCCCCATTCCCTCCCGATCAGCTGGGACTCGGGAGGCAGAGAATAGATGGGGGTGGGGCCAGTCAGCATTTTTTACTACCGGTTCTCCGAACTACTCAAAATCTCTGCTACCGGTTCTCCAGAACTGGTCAGAACCTGCTGAAACCAACCTCTGCCCCCCCCTCCAGTTTCTGAGATCCAGGATGAAGGAGGAATTGGCCTCCATGACATCTAAGGCTTCGGTGCTCGACCTGGTTCGGACTCCCACCATGCGCCGGATCTCCCTCTGCGTCTGCTTTGTCTGGTGAGCTTTGTCTGAAAACTCTGGAAATAAACCCCTCCCTCCACTTTTCTTGGGCTGGCATTTATTTAATGTAATAATTTAATTTAATTTAATTAATTTAATTATTTAATTTAATTTAATTTATTTAATTTTTTCATTTTTCATTTTATTTTAATTTAATATTTTTATTATTTTATTTTATTTTATTCTATTTTAATTTATGTTATATTATTTTATTAGTTCCATTTTTTATTATTTTATTTTATCATTCTATTCTACTTTAATTTATTTCTGCTGTTTTGTTGGTTTTATCTTATTTATTATTTTTATGTTATTTTATTTCAGTTTTCATATTTTATCATTTCATTTCATTTATTTTAATGTATTTATTTTATTTTATTTTATTTTATTTTATTTTATTTTATTTTATTTTATTATTTTATCTATTCTATTCTATTCTGAATTCTATTCTGTTCTATTCTATTCTATTCCCTATTCTGATTTCTCTTCTCTTCTCTTCTATTTTTCTATTCTATTCTGTTCTATTCTATTCCGAATTCTATTCTATTCTATTCTATTCTATTCTATTCTATTCTATTCTATTCTATTCTATTCTATTCTATTCTATTCTCTATTCTGATTTCTATTTTTTCTATTCTATTCTGAATTCTCTTCTCTTCTCTTCTCTTCTCTTCTCTTCTCTTCTCTTCTATTCTATTCTATTTTATTCTATTCGTATTATTTATTCATTTATTTTTTTCCTTTGGTCCCCTTCCAAGGTTCTCCACCAGTTTCGCTTATTATGGGCTGGTGATGGACTTGCAGAATTTCGGGGGCAACATCTACCTGATCCAACTCTTTTTCGGAGCGGTTGACTTCCCGGCCAAGTTTATTTCGGTCCTCACCATCAGCTACATTGGGCGCCGGTTTACCCAAGCCATTGCCCTCATCTTGGCTGGGTTAACCATCCTGGCCAACATCTTCATCCCTCAAGGTGGGTCTGAGTAGCACAATACAGAGATTCAAAGGTTTCGGGGAAGCTTCCAGAAGGTTTCTGGGATTCTGCTTCTTGCTCAGGAAGCTTTAGATTTTAGCTTTAGAAGCTTTAGAGGGGTGGACTTCAACTCCCAGAATTCCCAGCCATCATGCTGGAAGTTGAAGTCCATCCATCTTAAATCAAGCTGGCTGGGGGATTCTGGGAATTGAAGTCCACCCATCTTAAAGTTGAAAAGAGGTTTTAAAAACAGTACTTTAGAGGGCTCTTTGGATTAAAGCAGCATACAAATGTTAGCAAATAATAATGTCTCCGCAGCAGATTGGAACTGTGAGAATAGATCGAGGTGGGGCTGTGAGGTTGTGAGCAAAGTAAACTGAAGAACCAGATATTCTCACAAACAGAACCAATTCTCCCATCTGGAAACTGGATCTGATGGATCGGTCGATTCAGAACCACGGACAGTGTCTCCGTGTCAGTGACTGGCAATTGGATCCCGTTACTGAACTAAGCTGTGGTTTCAGCAACCTTCTGGAGATAATTGTCAACTCTGGAACATTATTCCCCGCCTCCCACCCTCCCACCCCCATTATACAACAGGGTTGGATGAGACCTTGGAGGTCATCTAGTCCAACCTCCTGCTGAAGCAGCAGACCCCTCTATCATTCTGGTCAAATGGCTGTCCAGTGTCTTCTGGAAGACTTCCAGTGATGGAGCATTTACACAACTTCTGGAGGCAAGCCTGATTAAATTCAAATCAATGAGTTGGTGGGCATCCATGAGACACACGCGCAGCCCCCCTCACCACGAATGGCTTGGAGCTCCAGAGAGAGAGCGGGGTCCTCACCACGGACCTTTTTTCTCCCTTTCTCCCAGATATGCAGGCACTTCGGACTACCGTGGCTGTTTTCGGGAAGGGCTGCTTAGGCGCCTCGTTCAACTGCATCTATTTATATACCGGAGAACTTTATCCGACGGTCCTTCGGTGAGAGACCAAACCGGGGGGGGGGGGTGGGGGGGGGACCGCAGGGCAGGTAACTGTGAAAAAGATAATTTGGGCTCCTGTGGAAGAAAAGGAAGGAAAAGGGGTGCGAGATTGCTGCCCTTCCCTTCCCTGTTCCTCCTTTCCTTTCCTTTCCTTTCCTTTCCTCCTTTCTTTTCTTTTCCTTTCTTTTCCTTTCCTTTCCTTCTTTCCTTTCCTCCTTTCTTTTCCTTTTCTTTCTTCTTTCCTTTCCTCCTTTCCTTTCTTTTCCTTTCCTTTCCTTTCCTTTCCTTTCTTTCCTTTCCTCCTTTCTTTTCCTTTCCTTTCTTTTCCTTTCCTTCTTTCCTTTCCTTTCCTCCTTTCTTTTCCTTTCCTTTCCTCCTTTCTTTTCCTTTCCTTTCTTCTTTCCTTTCCTCCTTTCCTTTCTTTTCCTTTCCTTTCCTTTCTTCTTTCCTTTTCCTTTTTTTCTTTTCTTTTCCTTTCCTTCTTTCTTTCCTTTCCTTTCCTTCTTTCCTTTCCTCCTTTCCTCCTTTCTTTTCCTTTCCTTTCCTCCTTTCTTTTCCTTTCCTTTCTTCTTTCCTTTCCTCCTTTCCTTTCTTTTCCTTTTCCTTTCCTTTCTTCTTTCCTTTCCTCCTTTCTTTTCCTTTCCTTTCCTCCTTTCCTTTCCCCCCTTTCCTTCCCTTCCTCCTTATCTCCCAGTCTCCCTCCCCTTGTCATTGAAAAGGGGAGTTGTCATTGAAAAAAAAAAAACCAGGGGTTTAAATTGAGCCAAAGTACGGTACACCTCCATGAGGTCAAGCAGCATGACCAATCCTTTTTGCTTGGGGTCTGTCTGTCTGTCTGTCTGTGCAGGCAAACCGGGATGGGTCTCAGCAACACCATGGCGCGCATAGGAGGCATCGTGGCGCCGGCGGTGAAGATGACAGGAGAATATATCCCATTCCTGCCCAATCTTATCTATGGTGCGGCTCCCATCATATCTGGAATCGTGGCGGCCTTCTTGCCAGAAACTCGTAACATCCCCTTGCCAGAAACGGTAGAGCAGGTGGAGAACAGGTGAGGAAAATTAGGGGTCCCAGATTTTTTGCATTGCTCCTGGAATCCTAAAAGACCTTCCCTTTTCATGCTGATTCTGCTCTGACCTAGCCTCTTTATTCCCTATGGGAGGGGCCATTCACTGTCCACCTGTGGCTTTACTCCTGAGTCGGCCCTTGTTCCTTAGCTGTTCCCTTCTCCTGGCAGTTCTGCGCATGGGCACACTGGGAACAGGCTCCAGCTGTTCTTCTGCCTCACTGATGTCCGACTCGAAGGCAGCTGACAACTGTCAGACGGCCCTGGCCTCCTCTCTGCCTCCGACGCAGAGCCTTCCCCAGACTTCAGGACTGGCCCACGTTCCTCCCCAACCTCCTCACTATCCGAATCTGCCGCCAGATCCATTGGCCAGCCACAACAGATTCTTCTTCTTTAGCAAGAAAGCCAACTGATAGGTTGAAGGATTTAAAATAAATAATAATAATCTATATCCTATTAAAACTCTCATTGCCATGCCGTTGACTGGTGCATGATTTTTGAACCGAGATACTTTAAATAGGCTAACTTTCAGAATGCATCCAAAAACCAGGACCCATAGGTCTTGAGGGAATGAAATTTGGGAAAAGTTCTGGACACTTCAGAGCTACTGAGTGCTGCTGCATTGCTGGGATGCTGCTGCAGTCACAGGATCTTACCGTGTTTCCCCGAAAATAAGACCCTGTCTTATATTTTTTGGAACCCTGAAATAATCGCTTGGCCTTATTGCCATGCGCTCAAAAGCCCAACTGGGCTTATTATCAGGGGATGTCTTATTTTGGGAGAAACAGGGTAATTGTTCTGTGACAGTTTCCCAGTCAGTTTAGCAATCCCTTGCTTCCTCCCAAACTCAACATCAGCCACTTACCTGTCTGCTGAGAAGGGGAGAGGAGGGGAGGCAGACTGGGAGGGAGGGAGGGAGGGAGAGAGGGAGGGAGGGAGGGAAGGAAGGAAGGAAGGAAGGAAGGAAGGAAGGAAGGAAGGAAGGAAAGGATTCCGCTACTCCCTGCCAGATTCCCACGAGGAAATTCAATGGGGAAGCCAGCAGGAAGCCAAAAATCTCCCCTACTCCCATTGCCCATCTTGTTCTTTCTGTTTAGGGAAAGAACTATCTTTGAAACGATGACCAAATGGGGCACAGGTTCTCTAGTAACAATTCGGAAATTAAACCTCCCCCGTTTAAAGCTTTAAAACCAACTAAGTAACACAGCTGAGCCAACCGCATTTTCCTCAACTGAGTTGGTGAAGCCCCTTTGCAAACCCACCAACATTTAATGGTGTCATTTTTCCTCTTCCCCCACTCCCCGCACAGATCACGGAATAAGAGCCAGAAACTGGACTCCCAGCAAACAGAGGGCCTCTTGCTCTCCAGCAAGCCCAAAAGCCAGAAAATCAGTGCTTAAGGAGGAGAAAAATATTGATTTCAGGACCTACCTGTGCAGGAAGATCTGTGAGGACCGAGAACAGTGTCACGCTTGGAACAATATACCCTCCTGAGCTGTAGAGGTGGAAGCAACCACGGAGATGAAGGAGACCAATAATATTCTGGATTTACAGGGGGGGAAAAAAATAGAAGCTATTTGGAAGATATTCTACTGTCTACATTTATTCTGTCTGATTTCTTTTTTAAAAAAAATAATCTGGATCCACTCATTTGCAAAGCATGGTCACCTCCCCTGAATATACTACTAGTCCAAGCAAAAATGGGCATGGCTATTATATAGTATAGGGACGCAGTGGCTCAGTGGCTAAGATGCCGAGCCTGTCGATTGAAAGGTTGGCAGTTCAGCGGTTCGAATCCCTATTGCCACGTAACGGGGTAAAGTTCCCGTGACTTGTCCCAGCTTCTGCCAACCTAGCAGTTCGAAAGCAGGTAAAAAGAAATGCAAGTAGAAAAATAGGGACCCCCTTTGGTGGGAAGGGAACAGCGTTCTGTGCGCCTTTGGCGTTGAGTCATGCCGGCCACATGACCACGGAGACGTCTTCGGACAGTACTGGCTCTTCGGCTTTGAAACGGAGATGAGCACCGCCCCCTAGATTCGGGAACAACTAGCACGTATGTGCGAGGGGAACCTTTACCTTTATTATATAGTTTAATGTGTCACCCAACCCATATCTTAGCCTGTTGGTGAAGGAGGGTAACTTTTTAAACTTTTAAGAAAGTCCTGAGCTGATAATATAAGCGATGGTCGTTAGGTGGCAGCAGTGAGACACCGGAAAAATTTATTTTGGCTTACGCTGGATTGGTGTTTCTCAACTTTAGTAACTTTAAGCTGGGTGGACTACAACTCCCAGAATTCCTCAGCCCACATGCTTTAAGAATAAATGTGTGGACTACAACTCCCAGAATTAAACCAAGCTGGTTGGGGAATTCTGGGAGTTAAGTCCACCCAGCTTAAAATTACCATGGTTGAGCAACACTGCCCTAGATCACTTAACCCCTAAAAACCCAAATTATTGTTTGTTTGTTTGTTTGTTTGTTTATTACAACTATGTAGATACAGCCTAGGTTTCATTAAGCTGGGCATATGTATCGGCTGTTCTATGCAATAGAATAGAACAGAATAGAATATAGAATAGAATAGAATAGAATAGAATAGAATAGAATAGAATAGAATAGAATAGAATAGAATAGAATAGAATAGAATAGAATAGAATAGAATAGAATAGAACAGAATAGAAAAAAATAGAATAGAGTAGAGTAGAATAGAACAGAAGTAAAGAATAGAATAGAACAGAACAGAACAGAATAGAAATATAGAATAGAATAGAATCGAATAGAAATAGAGAATAGAGTAGAATAGAACAGAACAGAACAGAACAGAATAGAAATATAGAATAGAATAGAATAGAAATAAAGAATAGAGTAGAATAGAATAGAATAGAACAGAACAGAACAGAACAGAATAGAACAGAATAGAAAAAATAGATTAGAGTAGAGTAGAAGAGAAAGTAGAATAGAAAAAAGAATAGAAGAAGAAATAGAAGAATAGAGAATAGAATAGAATAGAAATAGAGAATAGAGTAAATAGAACAGAACAGAATAGAAATATAGAATAGAATAGAATAGAATAGAAATAAAGAATAGAGTAGAATAGAATAGAATAGAATAGAATAGAATAGAACAGAACAGAATAAGAATAGAACAGAATAGAAAAAATAGATTAGAGTAGAGTAGAAGAGAAGAGAATAGAAATAAAAAATAGAATAGAACAGAACAGGACAGGACAGGACAGGACAGAACAGAACAGAATAGAAAAAAATAGAATAGAGTAGAGTAGAATAGAATAGAAATAAAGTAAAGAGTGGAATAGAACAGAACAGAACAGAATAGAATAATAACTTTGTTGTCACTTTAAATGTACACTAATCAGCATACATTAAAATGAGATTTCATTGCATACAGCTCTCAAAGGGTTGCCACCTCCAATACACACTACATAAACATGACCAAAAAAATTATGCATATACCCACATACACACACATATATGACCCAGAGAAACAACACAGTCTAGTTCGGATGCATACATGTACATGGCGGTGAGAAAAATGAATCTTGCGAGTTTACCAGAAGGATGGCGTAGGGAACAAAGCTGTTACAGGATCTGGTAGTCCTTGCTAGAAACTCAACTCAAGGTATCTACCCTGGATGAAACATTCAGGGGCCCAACTCCGCTCTATAAAATGAATTAAAGTCTAGAGTTTGAACTACCGATATATATCCGCTTTCATTTTCTCTATCCGCCATTCTAGATTTACCCAACATGCTTCATCAGATCAATTAAATGTTGGGTGCAAACTTGATTTTTTGTTGTTAGTTATGAAGTCGTGTCCGACCCATCGCGAACCCCATGGACCACGTTCCTCCAGGCCTTCCTGTCCTCTACCATCCTCCGGAGTCCATTTAAGCTCACGCCTACAGCTTCCGTGACTCCATCCAGCCACCTCCTTCTCTGCCATCCCCTTCTTCTCCTTTTGCCCTCCGTCGTTCCCAGCATTTGGCTCTTCTCCAGGGAGTCCTTCCTTCCTTCTCCTTAGGTGGCCAAAGGATTTGAGTTTCCTCTTCAGGATCTGGCCTTCTAAAGAGCAGTCACGGTTGATCTCCTCTAGGACTGACCGGTTGGATGGCCTTGCAGTCCAAGGGACTCGCAGGAGTCTTCTCCAGCACCAGAGTTCAAAGGCCTCCATTCTTTGGCCTTCTCAGCCTTCCTTATGGTCCAACTTTCATAGTAATTATTTTTAAGATTATCAAACTTGATACAGAGGGCCAATTTAAATTTGAACTCATTGCATCAATCCATAAAACGTTCATTCCATCACCTGGTTAAACGCAAATAAACCCAGTCTGGATAAAACAGACCATTGGGACACAATCAAGATCAAGGGAGGTACTACCACCACCCTATAAAGCCTTAGTAAGACCACACCTAGAATACTGCATCCAGTTTTGACCACCACACTATAAAATAAAGATGTGGAGACTCTAGAAAAAATGCAGAGAAGAGCAACCAGGATGATGAGGAAACTGGAGGCTAAAACATATGATGAACGGTTGCAGGAACTGGGCCTGGCTGGTCTAGTGAAGAGAAGGACCAGGGGAGACAGGAGAGCATCTTCCAATATTTGAGAGGCCGCCACAGAGAGGAGGAAGGGGGTCCAGCTATTTTCCAAGGTACCCAAAGGCCAGACAAGGAAGAATGGATGGAAATTGACCAAGGAGAGATTCAACCAAGAAATAAGGAGGATTTTTTTGACATTGAGAACAATCAACCCATGGAACTAGAAGTTGCCTTCAGAAGTTGTGGGAGTTTCATCCCTGGAAGCTTTTGAGAAGAGACCGGACTGCCATCTGTCAGAAATGGTGTAGGGTCTCCTGCTTGGGTGGAGGGTTGGACTAGATGACCTACAAGGTCCCTTCCAACTCTGTTAATCTAGTTAACTGATTGGTCCATTTCTGAATTTTGCCAATTGCTAAACGGGGTCAATGTAAGGAGCCTGAGTGGCGTAGGAGGCTAATGCCTCCTACTAAGGCAGCATTTAACATCCAGCTGCCTGCAATTACTGCGAGTTCAATTCTCACCAGGCTCAAGGTCGACTCAGCCTTCCATCCTTTCTAAGGTGGGTAAAATGAGGACCCGGTTTGTGGGGGCAATAAGCTGACTTTGTATAAAATATACAAAAGTATGAAGGCTATTGCTTAACGCATTGTAAGCCCCCCTGAGTCTCCGGAGAAGGGCGGCATATAAAAATAAAAAATAAATAAAATTTGAGGATTGGGGAATCAGGTTTCGAAAACACCAGCTACTTCTTCTCACGCTACAACGGTTAGTAAGTGTGTAAAACAGTCACAAGACACTTTTTTCAGTGCCTTTGTAAGTTCGTATGGTCACTAACACAGAGCTACTGCAGCCAGGTTATTGATAATCCAAGCAGGAACCAGAATCTTCTCCAATATTTTGGAAATAATAGTTCCAAAATTTTGGGGAAAAAAAAACATTCAGTTGTCTCAGCTACAAATTTTCCAACTTTCAGTCACAAATTGACTTCCGTGGACCTTACTTCATACTTAAGTGTTCAGTAGAGGGGGGGGGGCATGCATAAGTGCACTAACGTCCCTATATCGTCCCTGTCGTCGTATTTTTAGTCTCTCATTCTTGTTCTCGTTTTGGTTTGACAAATTCCAATAAAAATAAATGAATAAAATAGACCCCTCCCACCTCGCCAACGAGAATGGAAGCCCCGCCTCTCCATTGAAAAATTCCGCGCAATAGCGGATGATCGAGTGATTTCGGCAATCTAGGTTAATTTTCTATCAACCCACAGCTGGGTTTTCAAACCACGTTTAACCAGGTCAGCGGAAGAGCGTGGCGCAATGTTGGCACCGGGGGTGGGTGGGTGGGTTCGACTTACCTTTACTACCAGTTCGCAATGGGATGCTCAGATCGCCGATGACATCAGGGTGGTGGGCGGGGCCTCCCGCCAGTTTACTACCGGTTCTTGCAAACCGGTCTGAACCGGAGGGGGGGGGGGCAATCCATCACTGGCTGGCACCACTGAAATGTGATTCATTTTGAACTTGGCTTAGCGATTGGGGTGTCGTGTTGTGTCATCCAACACCTTTAGATCAGTGGTGAAATCCAATTTTTTTTACTACCGGTTCTGTGGGTGTGGCTTGGTGGGCGTGGAAGGGGAAGGATACTGCAAAATCTCCATTCCCATCCCACTCCAGGAGAAGGATACTACAAAATCTCCATTCCCACCCCACTCCAGGGGAAGGATACTGTAAAATCTCCATTCCCACCCCACTCCAGGGGAAGGATACTGCAAAATCTCCATTCCCTCCCCACTCCAGGGGAAGGATACTGCAAAATCTCCATTCACTCCACACTCCAGGGGAAGGATACCGCAAAATCTCCATTCCCACCCCATTCCAGGGGAAGGATGCTGCAAAATCCCCATTCCCATCCCACTCCAGGGGAAGGATACTGTAAAATCTCCATTCCCACCCCACTCCAGGGGAAGGATACTGCAAAATCTCCATTCCCACCCCACTCCAGGGGAAGGATGCTGCAAAATTTCCATTCCCACCCCA